CTGACAGAACAATAGAAATTTTATGAATAAATAGACCTGGTTCTTGGAGATACAACTCATGGAAGAGGAACGTAAATTCATTAGTTTAATGAGTTTATCCATTAAGGTACCCGAGGGGGCTGCTCGAGAACCAACTTAATAATGTAAGCCTCCTGCCCTGTGCAAGAGGCCTTGCCCTAATAGGATTAAACGGGTAATGCTAATATAATAATAATAACAACAACAAAACCTACCTACAAATGTATATCAATCGCTGGAAATGTGCATATTAAAGGTGTGAGACAAGCGGATTTCAGGGAACCTAAGGAGGGCAACTGTCTTCCCCCCCCCAATGGCTCAATTAAAAAGAAATAGATTTAGACCTTTCTTTTTCATAATCTACAAACCTCATCTCTATCTAGTTCATTGACTGACGCTATGGGTTAGTGTGGTCACGGTTATATCAGGATATAAGAGGGGTGCCTCAAATATAACACCTTTAGAAAAAAGGGGGAAAGAGTTTCAGTTTTTAACCAGCTCTTCATACAAGAAAAAGCTGAAACTTTTTATACTTGAAAGAAAAATACTGCAAAAAAAGTTCTAAGCTGTCAACCAGTGGATAAGATAGATAGCTACATGTTACCGAAAAGGAAAAAAACAAGCTAAAAAAAAAAATCTTCCGACAGAAAAGTTTAAGTGATCTTCTCTAGGCTCTAGCAATGATAATGACGAATATATTTATGATATTGAATCGATGGACCCCATTTATATATTTGCAGTGAACACTATCCAGATGACTTGTGGCGGGAAGCAGTGACTACTCTGCTCAACATGTTTCAATTGGAATCATAAATTTTGTGATGCAACAAGGGGGAGGAGGGGAAATATGCACACTTGCAATAGCAGTAACACTTAAAACATAACTTATCTAACAAAAAGTATTAGCATTATTTAAAACATTTTCTAGCATTAAAGAAACTTTTAATTTAGCATTTAAAAATATTTTATGTTGTTTTTTGAAAAAAAATAAAAAACAAAACAAATACTATAACAAACAATGTATTTTGTTTTGATATGTCCATTTTCATTTGGTGGGTGTAATAGGACCAGAAGTAGGCGATATTAGAACCATGTACGAACATTTAAATTTGCAACTTAAAAAAATAATTATTGTCACAAACTGAAATAGCTTTCGAAATGATTTACTGCAGAAAATCAAAGAAGGATTGTTTGCAGAGTTTAATACATTTAATTTTCAGCTTGATTTTCCAACTCAATTAAAACTAAATAGTACGAGAAGTCTGTGCCATTCTCAAGCACCGTTTTCTTAAAATGCTTGGTAAAATAGAGTGAAATACGCTTTATGTCGGTGGTGTGGTCCAATTTCCATTGTTATCTCTGAATTTTCGAAAATTGCAAACTTTGAGAGTTTTAGAGAAGATAGAGATTTTTTCTTCAAATGAATTGTTTCGATAATTAGTATAGTAGAAACTTTATAAGACATCATTTAAAGCTCGTATACTCATAAAAACAATAATGTGGACAAACGCCACTAATGTAAATATTAACGACTGAGAGACAAGTCAAAAAAATTAATTTTTTTTAATTTTTGAAAAAAAATAAAGAATACAGAAAATGCCATTTATATTTATTATCTTACGTTTCGCACTAGTTTTATAGACAAAATTTGGAGCTGTTTTCAGAATATCGTGGTTTGTTACTCTAAAATTGCACATATTGCGATTAATATTGGATGAAAACTACTTAAGTTTTTTAAAGAAGTGTGCATGACCTAATGAAAGATCTAATTCTAGAAAACAAATTACATTTGAAGAAAAGCTCTGTCATCTATTTTAAAAGTTGTAGGAATTTACCGAAAAATTCAAACTTTTGTAATTTTTGAAACTCTATAGTTAACAGTAAAAATAGGATCTGTGCCATCTCTACAAGTGTATTTTACTATATTTTTAACAAAAAGGTAAGAAAAATTTTGAGCCATTTTTGAGAATATTTTGAAAATGTCTCCTGGGGCTTCGTGTAAACAAAGTTGTAAAATTATAAAGCTGTTTTTCCAAAATCGGCAGCGCTTTGAGTCGATCAGATAGACCGGGGAAATATATCTTTGGAAAATATCCTGTAGCAATACTTTTAAGCGCTAAGTGGTATTCATGGACGGACAGATGGTCGAGCCTCGTTTAAAAAACATCGGTATCAGGGTACGCAAAACGTGTATTTTCCGTTCAGAAATCCAAATCGATTTTCCGCTGCATTACATACTCTCTTACTAACGTATTGATCTTTGTGGAAATGGGACATGCGACGTAGGGGGGGGGGCAACTAAAATATTCTCAATAAAAGTTAGCCTCAATCTTAAAAGGAACTTATTAATTTACCAGGAAGTTATTTAGGTGGGGCGATCATAATATTGACGAACACTGCCTGTTTATTTTTTAACTTACGCTGAACTTCCTTGTGGAAATCGCCACTTTTTTCAGTCCACCTTCCTGGAGCTCTTTCATCATTTTCCCAAAAAGCAGGAGCACCCAAGGATGCTTGTTTCGCTCTCGCGGCACTATTTGATCATAAAGATCAATATCACCGTCCGATATACTTTCAGCCTCACTCCACCTCCATTGACTGTTTGCTAATTACCGCTATATATTCTCAAAATCTGGATATTATGCCGCACAAGATGATCTGCCAAAATCCACCTTTCGCAGTTCTCCGGCTGGGCAAGAAATGGCAACCAGATAAACCCAGCAAAAAGTCAGACCAAAATCTTCACACTCCGCAACACAACATCCTTCCTCTCGTGAAGTATTAACGAGAAAATATATATTGCTACCAACAACAAGGCCATGTTCAATTATCCTTGGTATATTTTTTGATAGGAGGCTCAGCTTGGAAATCAAATTATTTCTTCACAGAATACCCATAGAACCCACAATTACATCCCATACTCAAAGCAAAGTTTTAACCGCTACGACTTCATGTAGTTCTCATTATATACAATCAATGATTCGTCCAATCTTATACTACGCTTCTCTATCTGGGCTTCATCCAGCAAATCCAATATTCAAAAATTGCAGATTTTCAAAATAAATCATCCGAAAGTTAAAAAGTTCAAACAGTTCATTACAAAAAGTCCTGGTTTGTTGTTACTAACTCCCAGTTACATAACAAAACTCGGCATCACTTACATTATTCGTCCATTTCTCCGTTCCTTATCCACTGCTTCTATCCTAAAAATTCCCAGATTCCCTCAGACGTTCAATTTCAATCGGGAAACAAAATCCTCCCCACAACAGACTAAAGCGGAACTACCGCGACAGGTTCTTCGATCCCGTCCCCCCTGATCATGTACGGTACCGATGTGGCTACGCAATTCATCCAGTATATTCAATGTTATTTCATCTGTATGTTTTTTCTTAAACTGGTTATATAATTCTATGTAAACCTCAAGTATCGAACTCGACTGCTGAGAGCCTTCGGGCCAAGCAGAAATAAATGAAAAAACAACAAAAAACACTGAACAATGCATAGTAAGAGGACTATGGCAACAAAGATATATTATCTAATAAAAATCAATAGAAGGCACAAAGATAATACATAGTTTCATTTCTTTATGAAAAGGTTAATGAACCATGTTCTCTGTAAAGGGAAGTCATATCTATTTAATTAATAACATCACATACTCTTATTCGTATAAATATATTGTCAATTTAATACTAAATTGAATCCGTTTGACACTTTTTAATTTGAAATTAATCGGTTATGAAGGTAATATGCATGTATCTGGCACATAGTAAGATGTGAAGGAATATCTCTATTTATTGTTCTGCGAACGTATATTGATGATAATCGTCTAATGTTGATTGGCATGTGCGTGAGGGGTGACACTTTAGCAGACGCTGCAGCAAAAGAGCAAGTAGACATTTCTATTGTATTTAATTTCTCAGAATCATTTCTATGTCCCACTTGTACCTTACCTGATATACGTAGAACTTTTCAGATATTACAGTTGTATTTTTTCAAATTTTTAAACTGTCGAGTTTTGGGAAAAATAAAAAATAAAAAAATAGGTCAAAAATATATTTTTTAAATGTAATGAATTTAATACATACATCAAATGAGAGAGCATCTTCTGTTCTTTAATGTCACAACATATTACATTTCTGTCACAATTACAACACAAGTTAAAAATGATTGACTTAAGCAATGCAAAACTTTTTCAAAAATTTTAAAAGTTAATATAATCTCTAAAAATAATTTTTAGGCAAAAAATAAAAAAACACGTTTGATATTTACGCTTATACTCTCCACAGACATAAAAGTATAAATATCTGGGTCATCAAGGTCAAATTTTCCTTAAATTTGTGTAATTTGACGTGGAATGCTCGTTTTACCCGCAGCATTATATTACATTCTCTCTAATGCGTACGCGGTGTACAGAGAGTTAATATTACGTGTTCCTCAATACACAAGGCCAAATGGGCCTTGTAAGTATAGATAGGTCCTGGTCGTGATGTTCGGGAGCAACGGGGAAAAGTTTCGCTGAGAATTCCTCACAGGGGAACTGTAGTTAACACAGGAAGTCGTAGTAGGTCCCTTAGGTGCTGATAATTGGCGATCGGGAAGGGGTTTATGCAAAATCGGGAAATGGCAGCACCGACTGAAAGAAAATGTCATAGGTCTATCGTCATCCACTCCCGACTGCCAGAACATGGAACAAGATACTTCTATGTTCAGACCTATCATCCGTTATAACAAAATCACAACCTACTCAAATCTATATATTCCTATCTCTTCCCTCTATCCGTTTTCCTGCGGTAGTGAGATGATCTTTCACTGATCCCAAACCCTTCTTCGTTTGCTACCCACTGTGCAGTAAATAATATTTACTAAATATAGATAAGATGAGCACCCGGTGCAGGTTCGTGGTACAACCTGAGAAGGTTTAGAACCAATATTGATGTCTTTTAATGCCACCAACTCTTTACAGTTCGTTTACCCCTAAGAATTATGTTTCATAGAAATCATTTTATAATGTCAATCCGGAACACTTGGACGTGTAAGAATGTTTCATTTGCCCTGACTCATCGAGAGAAGTAGCGACGTCGAATTTTTTGACGCTTCTTGCTATTCGTCCGTGGCCTTCGTGGCCCCGCCCCACCCGCCTTGTCTGAACCTTGCGCTGAAGACCACTTGTGGTGTTGCGAATGTCATCCTGCTGATTAATACTGGTGTTGGAGTGGGTATTATCTCGTAATGGAGTAGCTTCTACGGCTGAGAAGGGGTTTGACTAATGTGAACAACGAATAGGTGCTTCGAAAAGGTACGTGAAAGAACTAAATTTCGTATGAGATGTTTTTGAGTGTCATGTTACCGTAACCCCAAAATCATTCAATCCTAAACATGGATTTTATAAACAATAATTTGGTGATATATTCTAAATTTAAGGTAATATTGTTGAATGTTGAACTTTCAACGATACCAACTGCCAGGAAAATGTCTAAATGTTGTTATAATTGTACAATTAGGGAAATTTATAATATATCTCTGAACCGGCGAATCCGGTCTCAGTATATGACAACCTTTCTACAAATTTGTTAAGAATATTTCTTATAAAATTCAGACATGCTTTTGTCATTGAAGAAGGGAGGTGTTCTTGTGTGAAGGTTAACTGTCAAATATCGGTACGCACGGGATGTCTCGTCTGCTTTCCGCTTTCACTACTTTCCCCTGAACTACCTGCGAAGAGAGTTATTGTAGAATCCTGATTCTTGATTTGGAATTCAGATGGCCGACACTTTTGCCAGGCGCCTTGAGCGCTTGGCCTTCCGATTTGTGGAGTTCGTTTTCGGCGCTTTGTTTCGCTTGTTGTATCGGGGTCCAGGGGAACAAGTTCCTCCTATAAGTAATTTGCTACTTCTGGACTCGGCGACCACCCTCGCCCACAAGATCAGAACAAAAAAGGTGAGAATTGAACGTAATATTTTTTTTTAACGAGTTTGAAATAACATTTTTCCGCTTTAATTTGTGTTAAATATCAAACGTTTGCTCATTTCAGCAGAGGCAATACAGCACAACACAAATTTTATTACTCAAACTATTTCTGTTTTGTTTTAGGGCTGTTGAAGTTTGCAAAATCAGTACTAGTAGTATAAGAATATTTTTTGGGGTATCGAATGCTTCCCGATCATAGTAATATGACCCACTCTCGTACTTTGCCATGAATATTTTAACACATTTTCAGGAAAATATACATAAACATAACTTTGTTTCTTGCCACCTTTTTATTAGTTTTAGTATTTCAAATTAATATTTCTCCTTTTCATAATTTTATTGTAATTGAATAGGTAGGTACACTTTTTTACTGTAGTGTATGCTTTATTTTGGTAAGGTTTCCTCTTTTATGACAGAATAAATAATAAATGCATTATCAATAGAAATGTACTTAAATATTGTATTGTGTATCCATTTTACTGGAGTCACTATATATTTTGTGTCACAAGCCTTATTCTAATTCTTTCTTCCGTTATATTTCTACGTAGGTGACAAGTGTTGAGGTGGTAGAAGCCTTTATTGCACGCATTCGGGAAGTAAACCTTGTTTTAAATACGGTTGTTGATGAAAGATTTGAAGAGGCACTGAAAGAAGCCAAGGCTGCAGATGAATATATTCGCTCTGGTGCTCATACTCCTGAAGAATTAGAACGAAATCTACCTTTCCTAGGAGTGCCTTTCACCACAAAAGATTGTGTGCAAGTTAAAGGTATGTACACAGATATTGATCTAAATAGAGAATTCTTCAGTCAATTTATGAACAAAATATTTAAGAACTCAATGTTTGTTATATGATTGAAACCTTGAGGAGCTTATTTAGATGTAGAAATTAATACAAGTGTGATTAAAAATTAAGATTATAAAACAATGACTTTCTAGTATTTTCAATGATCTCAGACCAAGAGAATAGTAGTTTTGCATCATCTACAGATATAATGTCAATTTGTTTATGTAAATTTAACCAAAAATTTTGAAGTTAGAAAATGTAACATAGTTTTATGTAGAGAGATTTTCTTAAGGTTAATTGATGTTTTAACAGTTTTTGGTTATCGTATATTTAGATAAAATAACTCCAGAAGAAGAAAAGAAACCCTCAAAACATAGAGAGAGATGGAAAGACTTGAAATTAATATAGAATTTTAATAAATACAGTTCAACTAAATTAAGTAAAAGTATGATTAAAAAAAGTGTGTGTGTTTTTACTTAATTTAATTATAACTGACTGTCTAAAATATGTCTGGGCAAAACCCTATAAAAGTAGTAGTAGTTTTGTTTCAATTTCAATATTTTGTATCAAAATCATAGCATTAATGAAATTCATGTTGTAACAAAGTTCAATTGCAGCATAAATTTAAAATACAAAACCATCCAATGACAAAAGAGATTATAAATTGAAAGAATCTACTATATCTAAAATATTCAAATAATAATTATTTTTCTCTTAAATATGTAATGTAACTTATTACATAATCATTCTGGAAAAATATACTTTTGGAGATATTATGATGGAGAAAAGGTAATTTTACTATACACGTTAATTGATACTCCAGAATTCAGCAGTTGCTTTATTTGTATCCTTTCTTATGTGTACATATTAAAAATAATTTTTTCTTGAATTTCTTAAAAAGTTAAAGAAAGGTATTTCAATGTTTTGTTAATTAGAGTAATATTTTTATTGCATTTTCTCTCTCTCCCCCCCTTTTTTTTCTTTATTTTCTTTTTTTTTTCTCCTTCAGGATTGAGACATACAGCTGGTTTGTACAAACGGCGAAATCTTGTGGCTACAGAGGATGCTGATTGTGTGGCTCAAATGCGAGCAGCGGGTGCCTTTCCTCTTGCAGTAACAAATGTCTCAGAATTGTGTATGTGGTGGGAAAGCAACAACACAATTTATGGTCGTACTAGGAACCCATACAACACAAATCGCATTGTAGGTGGTTCTTCTGGAGGAGAGGTAAATATTATTTGAAGATGTGAATTCCAACAGTTTTTGTGAGAAATACCCTTTGCTACCCATGTTTCTCAATTGGCATTTGCTGGTAATGATATCTATAAGTAGAAACCGGAAAACTATGTCATGTAAAACGACAAAATATGTACATAAATATGTAATCAAAACAGTGAGAATATGTAATAAATATGTAAAATTAGCTCTAATGTGTAATATTAAAATACCCTTATTATTAAACTCATTTACAAAATATATAATTAAATTTATCAAAAATTTTCTAAACAAATGTTAAAATTAATATAAATGTTTAAAAAGAATCATTGGAGAGCACAAGTTGATGTACAATTTTCACCATACAACTTTCCTCTTGATAATAAAAGCTTCCAGAACAGTAATTTAGCAGGCAGACTAGATGCTATAGAAGTCCGTGTTCAAACTAGGGAACAGCAAACTATCACTGCAGCGTGCAGCATTCTCATTGAAGTGTTACATGCTGGCGATGGCCTAGTATCTTGGAAATTAAAGTTAAAGATCACAAAACGTGGAATCAGTGATGCTTTTCACACCTGAAGGTGAAAATGACCACGGTTGCTGACGTGGACTTCCCGCCTCTGAGATACCTGAAGCAGGCATGCCGGAGAGTAAAAACATCCGACTGTGTCTTAACATCGCATTCGATTCAACACAATCTCAATTCGACAGTACTCTGTAATAATTTGGGGAGTCTTTTTTTTTTTTTTTTTTGAATACTTCTTTTCATACAGTTTTGTGAACAATAAGTAGAAAGACAAAAAATATATAATTACATAAATGTCTGGTCTCTCTCCATAAGACAATATGCACGATAGAAAATTAATTGTCCCTCAGTCTTTATGAAAAAGCTAAAAATATTGTAAATATTACCATTTATTAAAACAATCTTTTCTGACATATTTAGGAAAATACAAATGATTAAAAGAATTTATTACACATGTCTAGTAACTCAATTCTCTCTTGAATTTTTGTGAATTTTTATTTCTTTATATTCAATAAAAAGTAATTATTATAGTAATAGTGATAAAACAATAAAATTCCACATAGATTTATTTCAAATTATTATAATTTATATTTTAAGTATTGAACTCAATAGTAGTTTATGCATTTAGTTTATAATGTTAAGCTTTATTGCATTAGTACATGTTTAGAAAGCTTAGAAACTTTAAGAGTATTTTCAAATTTGTATGAATGCAATAAAGCAACGTAAAGGAGTTGCATAAGCTATTTTTTTGTTTAACAGCATAAATTTATAAGAGAATCCAACTTAATTTTGCGAAACAACTTTCCTGGTATGTGGGTATTTGACATCTATGTGAGGAAACTGTGATTGGCTGTTGCGTTTACCTCTACCTCCCCACCATTCTTTTGCTGTGATAACCTGAATGTGTGATGATACAATAATTCGTGCCATAAGATCTAATGTCATCATTTGTGCCGTAAAATGCCTGATTAAGAATGATTTCTTATAACACAAAAGGTTGTTTGTAATGCTGGTAAACAAAAAAAATACATATTGATAATTATTTCATGGATATTGACATGAAATATGTAAATATTATCTTAGTCTGGTGTCTTTAGCTGCAGGTACTACTCATAGAGTTACAAGATAAACTATTGGTAGACTTACCTATTCAAAAATTGATGTTTCATTATATTATTAGATTTATCATCAATATAATTTAATTGAAGCCTCTTCGAATGATTCAGTATTTGTCCCAATTAATTGACCTGAAGAGTCTTAACTATGAATGACTGACTGATGAACGAATGGATGAACACTGGTTACTTGATTACTATACGATTCTTTGATAGGTGTATTGTACACCTCAAAATATGTATGCAATTTTATTTTCAAAGAATATTAATGGAAAGGGAGCATCAAATGATTTACCATTAATTACTTTTCCATTGTTTAGTAATTCAAATCCCATGTCGAGAATCTTATAATTTATACTAAGGCTAAATATAATATTTGATCTAATTGTTGCCTGAATTAATTGTAACTTTTTCTAAAATATTTGCTTTCTAGCCTCACTACATGGAAGCCCAGGATACTAATTGAAATTTAAGAGAAAATAAAAATACTTTACTTGCCTTACAATAATCTTATTAGAATCTTCCTAATCATTAGTGTCACTTGTAAAAGTGATAGCTTCATTCTTCTTTTTCTTGCTATTACAATCCAAAATGGTAGTTTGATGTTTCTCGTGATGTAGCTTCTCCAGTCTCTATGTTCCTATTTCAAGGTCTCTTGTGTTCTTAAAACATTGAAAATTTATAACTTGTTTGTAGGTGTGGCCAATACAAGATTTAAATGAATTGGCAATCATTTTAACTCTTGATTTTTTTTTCATTATTCCTGATTTCAGGAAAGTATCAATATTCTTGATGTTCATTTTATTGATGACTTCTCTTTGTATCCTGGGCGATGAGAGACCCGCTCCTATGATGTCTGGGCTTGGTGACTTGTCAGTAAGCCAAATCTTTTTAATTTTTAGGTAAAGATAAATTATCTAACTTTCTCTTTTCTAGGGTTGCTTGCAAAGCTGCAGCAGGTTGCACCAATGCGGTATGTGTACCGGACATGTGAGGCTCTATACGTATTGCCTGCATTCTTTAATGGCGTCTTTGGACACAAACTTCCAGAGGTAACATTAGACATTTACTTTATTGTTATAAACTAAATTATTGTGTAAATAAAATTCCTTCTCTATATATAGATATGTTTCTGGGCAGAGAATAATGAAAATGCAGAGTTTTGGTTGTGAGGCAATCTTTTTCCCACTAAAAAGCAAAAATAGGGAAATATATAACTTGTAAATTATTCATCACTTTACCTGGGAGAGGTGACACAGGGCTTGAAATTAATGTCATTGCAGTGCCTTCTGACCAGGAGGGTACTAGGTTTGAGTCCAATGGTGGTAGGCTTTTCGCCACTAGCTTGTCAGCTGGATGAAGTTCAGTTACTGCTCATGGAGGAGAAATCTTAGTGAACAGTTTGCTCTCGATTGATAGTTTTCTAACGATCTCTGAGTAACACCAAGCACATTGCCAGAGCAGAGTACCCTAACAAATGGGCATTGGACATGTGTTGATCTTTCCTTCCTCTTCCTTGTCCTACTCCTCACCCTTTAACTTACACCACTTTATACACTCAACATTCCAGTACATTACCAACAAATGCCAGGAGACGATTGGGAGCTTGCAGCTAGTGGTCCTGTGCTCGCTGGTGGGAGATACCTGGTTGGTGAAAACCCCGCTAGACGATTGTAGGTCAATGCCCTGCCATCTGGAGAAAACGATCACAGATACTTCCCGGAGGAGAAAACAATGCACTACCACTTTATGGGACTAATGGCTTAAACAGTTAATGCACCCGAATCATGTAATCAATCAATTATTAATGTCACAGTTGAATTTTAATGTCTTGTTGATTATATATTTTTAGTAATTTTATATCATGCTACAAAAAAATTGGTTTATTGTCTGGAATGTTTCTTTATTTCTTTTGCCTTTTATTACTCATGCTTCTTAATAAGAGAAGTTTCATGTACTAACACACAAAAATAGCTATTTTTTCAAAGAGCAAGAGTAGTGACAATTTTTACCATGCTACTGTATATATTTAAGTTTTAGCTATCAGATTTCGACCTGAACAAGTAATTTTTTCAAAAAGAAGTTTCAAGTAAAACTTTTCTGCAATGTGTACACAGACACGTCGCACATCCTAAAAGACTGTTACAATGTTATAAGACAGAAAAAGCAGTTTTGAGAAAAAGGTGTTTTAAGATTTTCTTGTACATACTGATGCTATAATTATAGGAAGTGACACAAGCTCTATCTAGTGACATTTTTTAAAATCACAGTTATGGTATTTATGTAGAATTATAAAGCATTAAAACCTGAATCTGTTGGTGTACATATTTAAAAATTGTACTTCTTTTAGGGGATATGCGATATGTATATAGAGATTTTTTAGATTGAATGTTACAATGTTTGGAGGACTCAGGAGGGCAAAGATTTTGTCAATGAACATGAGTTTTTTTGTCTCTTCAGGACGATATACACGAAGTAAATTGGAATAAATTTGTAGATCCATATTAAACATCTACAGTTTTTGTGTAAAATGAGTAAAACAGCAAAATTGCTGCTGCCATTACAAAAATAAATGTGTGTTGGGAAATCTTGTATGATGAAATTAGTGATATTCATTTTTTCACATCCATCTCTAATTAAAAAGCAACACACATCTACACAGGTATTTAGCAGTTACAGTTTCTGACACAGTCAAAGAGACTCTCCCTGAACTTGCCAAACATCAGTGCAGGATAAGTTGCCTGGCAAAGGCAACAAGAGGAGACATAATACAGTCTTTTTTTCTTGTAAAGTTGGCATAAGTGGCTTGTTGGCCGTAAAACCACATGATCAACTGCACTTTTCCGCTTTTGTCTTGATATTAGCATTTTTGAATGTAATATAAAGATGTGAGAAAAGTGGATGGGAGGTAACCCTCTATGCTTGGTGAAATTATTTGAGAAACGAGGTATGATGAAGGTTTTAAATCTTGTGAAGATCATATAGAAATAATTATTTGTATAATTAATGTATGCATTGCATGTATGGTATGGAGACATTTTGAACCTGAGTGTTTTGTTTTTGATGTGTATTCCTTGAAACAGTCCAATCATGGTCAAAATGTAGGTAAGTTGAACAGGTAAAACACTTAATTATCTGAAACAATGGTAAAGAACCGTGAACGTGATAGTAATTTTATCTGTCAAGAGTATTGTAATGGTATAATTGACTTTTCAAATTAAGTAATTACATTCTTCAAATCACTTAATCACTTAATAACAAAAACTTTAATCATTGGTCACAACTGCTACAGAAGATGATTGTTCATCTTCCCAACCTTATCCCCAAGACATGTCTCTCCAGCTTCTCTTGATCACCTCACTACTCCCTTTAACCCTTCCCATTCCACTCAATCCAAGCAACACATCCTTTCACACACCTGGCCAGTTCACTCCCCAGGATCATGATGCCCCTCAACTGAAGGCCTCTGCAAAGAGGTGGATGCAACTAAATTGTGTATGTGTGTGTTTTACAGATGGATTAGTTATGTATGGAATGAAGATATGTGTAAATGAGTAAATTGAAAAATTCATTGTTTCTCTCATGGATCAAAGGAGTGGCCAATATTAATATTTAATTTTTGATGTTCAATCTTGAATATTTTTGTATTCTTAAGTGCAGAAAACATTCATTTGTGGAGTAATAGATGCAAATCTCATTATCAGGGCTCGGATTTTGATGATCTAAATACGGGGAAAAGTACCTCATAAAAAAGTTATAAAAAGTTTTTTTTTAAAAATAAAAATAAAAAATAAAAAAGAACCTAAAAAAATTGTATGAAAATGTTTACTTATTCAGTGAGTTTTACAATTTTAAATAAAATTTATTATTATAAAATTTTGAAGACTATAATGTCTTCATTTTAGGAGAAAATGTAATCTTTAGCTCCGATCTTCCAACCGTTGGTTTTGTAAGGTCGGGGAAGTTACTGAAGATCTGTGTAATTTTCAGAGTTGGAAAAACATAGTCCATTGCAAAAGTGAATTTTGTCATGAGGTGATTATACAATAAAAACTTTGTTTTAGTGAGTCACAAAAGTTCATGAAATGTTTGCTAACAAAGGAACTCAGAAAGGGGAAAAAAAAATATAAAAATGGCAAAAATGATGTGAAGGTCCAAAAATATGACCTAAAAATTGAAAAATGGCAAAAACGACAAATCATATCCAATAACTATACATATCTATCACCTATAGTCATGTTAAACATTCATTTAGAAGTTAGTTTCATATACAGTGCACCAATGAAAAGAAAACATGTCATCAGAATCCGAGCTCTACTCATTATATTAAAAACTAAAATGGTTAATAGTTTATAGAAATGGATTTGACATTTCCTTTTTGGGAAATTTTGAAATAGTAGTAAATTTTTCCACACTTGTGTTCTTGTTAACCTTATTGATTATGTATTTTCTGGTGGTTGAAATGGCACCCAAAACACTGATATAATTAATAATATTGCTTATGTAGATTTGTTTTCATTACAGGTGTAGTATCTAATGCTGGACAATATCCAATTCCAAATGGGGAACAAAATACATTCTTGGGAACGGGACCAATGACTCGATTTGCAACTGATCTTCTGCCTATATTCAAAGTACTAGCAGGGCCTGTGTCTTCTGAGAGACTGGGACTCAAAGGGCCCCCTCCAGATTTACGCAAGGTCAAAGTTTTCTATGCAGAGGATGATGGAGGGGGAAGGCTTATCAGTGCAGTTCAACCTGATCAACGCGCTGCCATTAAACGAGCTGTTAATCACCTGGAAAAAGCTCTTGGAATTAAAGCAAAAAAAGTAAATTATTTCTACTTTTTTTTTAACATAAATTATTTCAAGTTCCTGACCATAGGGATATGATGTCTGATATTGTGGGACTGTCTGATATGATGATTGAATTCACTATAAATACAGACTAAACAACATAAAACTAATTTTATTTTTCATATTTGTTGTATTGTAGATATATTTGCCACGACTAAAGAAGGCATTGCCCATATGGTTTGCAAAGATGCAAATCAAAGATGCTCCAACATTTGCCCAACAACTAGATAACTGTGAGGTAAGAAGTTCAGGTTAGGATTAATTTAACTTTATGTTAATAGCAGGTGGCATAAATATTTAAGCTAGCTAACAGTAAGATTTTGGTTTTGTTTTTGGTATTCTTTTCAAAATCCTTTTGTTATCTTTAAAGGAAAGGTCTAAGGTAACAGATTGAAACTTGGTGTTCTATGCACTTCTATTTCGTTTTTATTTTATGTTTATTATAAAAGAATAATAATGAAAAACAAAATGCAAGAATAATATAATTAATGTTTATGTGAGTTTATATGTCATATTTACCCAAATATACATTGATTCCAAATATAAGTCAACTCCCTAATTTTGAAGAGGGCATCTGAGAATTTTTTTAACTTTTACTTTCTCGCCTTATGAATTCTTTGTAAGAAGAGAATGTTGTGTAATTATGTGCCAGAAAACATCAAAATTTCACCTGAAAAATCCTTAGTGCTGAGTTCTGGTGATATAAAAAGTGAATTAATCCTGTTGCTAAATTTAGAAAATAAAATCCTCCAACTCATGGTTTAGCCAAAACCCATATTTTGTTGGTTCTTGATTACAAAAAATCGAATGACAGCAAAACGTCTGTCTGTCCGTTTGTGGTCAATACTAGCAGCTAAACCGTTCAGGCGATTTTCTTCAAAGTTGATATTACCCAATCAATCTGGCTGATGTTGCAGCCCCTTGAATTTGAAACCGATATTTTAATTTGGGAAAGTACTTTAGCCTCTTGGACATTAAAAGAAAGGCTCCAAATTTTTTGATTTAATTTTGTTGGTCAATGGTGCTAAAGATGTGTAAGGGAATAGCGCAGGTCTCGTACTTAGTGACCCCTGATTTTTTGAAAATTTCAGAAATAATTCTTTAAAGTACTTAATCAAAGATAGAGATTTTTGGCTCAGAGAATGACTGTTGTACAAAATTACATCTTTAGAAAAAATCATAAACAATTTTTTGAAAAAAAAAATTGTTATTGCGTAATTTGCGCTTAAAATTTACAAATAAAATTTGTTTCAAAAATAGCTCAACATTTTTTCTTTAATTTTCTTCACATATGTAATAAGGGACAGTAAGAAATATGTTGCCAGTCCCATTTTTGAATACTACTCGTTTTTTTTCAAAAATTGAAAAATAATTTTTAAAAGTACAAATTAAAGATAGAGATTTTGAACTCTTAGACCCAACGTCTAGTACTGGTCCAGGTGGCATTTCATTTATTTTCTTAAAGATTTGTAAATTTATCATCTCACAGATTTTTAAAGTGATATTTGACTTATCTTTGACTGAGGGAGCATTTCCCAGTGAGTGGAAATCTTCTTTTATCTTACCTATTTTTAAGTCTGGACATACATAATATAACTAACTACAGACCAATATCAATTTTGGGTGTGATACCGAAGCTCTTCAAATCTTTGATTGTTGACAAGATTGCAAAGTTATCTATCCACTTTTGCCTGAGAGACAGTTTGCCTTCATGCCAAGCTTCAATGTCATATTGAATTGAATCTTGTGATCTATTCTACCTACATTCTCAAAGGGTTGGAACTTAATTGTCACATTGAATGTACTGATTTTATGAAGGCTTTTGATTCCGTTAACCATGTCATTTTGTTGCACAGACGTGAACACCTGGGGTACATGGACCATTGTTAAGATGGTTCTGCATTTATTCAGCCGATCACATACAGTTGGTCTCGTATAGTGGTGTTATCTTTGGCCATATTGCATTTACATTAGGCATTCCACAAAGGCTCTCTTTTGCGTCCCTTATTTTTCAATATTTTTATTAATGACATTTGTGAGGTGATCAATGAAATTGAATACCTGCTCTTTGCAATGCAAATCCTAACGCTCTCTGAATGATCTTTTTTGCACAAGTTGATTGCAGATGATTTGAATTGTAGATTTCTTTCTGACATGTTTCTCTATAAGTCACCTTCACTCAAGAAATAATGATATCTTTGACTTAAAAGTTTATGGAAGGTCATTTACAGTGAACAATCCTGTAAACCGCGTTTGTAAGCCGACAAATATTTTAATCAACGTGTTTTTTCATGATAATGAAAAAAATTTTTGTTGGATGCGAGGAGTATAATATTTTAATTTTTATAATTTTATATCTATTGTGAATATTTGTTCACTAATTATTTTCTTCTTTTTATATTTATATAGATCTTTGATTCAGAGTTACTTGCATATACTTTTTGTATTTTATTTCTAATTTTTGTACATTATTGGACAAATTGTCAGTATATTGTGATAGATGAATAAAACTTAAATATTAATATTTATTTTCAGCATGAGAAATTTTGATACAATGTGATTTCGATACAGTGTGCTAAATTTCCATGTGTAAAGGAACCAACCACTTTTTACACTGATAAACCGTTTGTGTCTTTTTCCTCTTGAAGCACACACACAACATTTTCTTGAGGGCCTTGCCTTACAAGAAGGAGGGATTTTGTCAATGAAATGTCTCCAAAATTTACTCTGCCAATGCAGTGGACACTTTGAAACCTTGGGTTTCTTTCTACCTGAGACCTTTCTGGAAGTTGAATGTACGGGATAAGTTGTTCAGCCAAATTCATTCTGAATATTGTGAAACTAATTTTTCTTTTTATAATTAATCTATGAATGACCCTTCTGTTGTAAAGTGCCAAATCAAACAAATAAAATACAAATGAAATTCCACAAATATTTCATTCCGAACACGCCTTGCAGCAGCCATAATTACAAAGGCAACAAAATGATCCTGCGTGTTTATAAAAGCTTTCAAAGAGAATGTAATATCAATGGAAAACAATCGGTATTTAGCAAGGAACTTTACAAACTTCAGGTCACGTTCTGTAATAAAGACAAGAATGTTATTTATTGGGAAAATGGGGCAATACAGCAAAAAAGTACAGGGCAGGCACTGCTCAGCAATGGTCAAAAACACATTGGAATGCTGAGAACTGGCTTTGGGCTCAAACGGGCTAATTTCTCCACCAATTTACCTATTTCAATAGCTTCCATCAATTTAGGCAAAACACATGATTTAGAAATTGGTTTACAGTTGTTAATGTTGGAGTGGTTATAATTTTAAAAATTGGGGTAATACAACTAATCTTCCAAATTTCTGGGAGGGTTCCCTCTTGTAAGGAGGGCAACATGAAATGCTGGACGTATGTGCTGGATGATAATCAACCTCTACACTTTAATGTAGAATTGCGCAACAAACCTTCTGGCATAGATGTGGATAGAAGACTTTTTGTTCCTTGTGATGTTAAACTAGATGGCACGAGTAGCAAATATTGAGAGTTGAGGTAGATGATTAATCTGCACATTACAAAGTAGAAACAAATGGCTTATTTCCAATGTCTGCCACCTAAATCAAAAACATGGGTAACTCCATCTTGTAGTGACTGTTTCATGTGTAACAATGTAACAAATAATATTTAATATTATTTGTAACATTGATCTATTTTGTTTATAAATTCATATTATTGCCAGTTAAAATCTTCTTTCAATCACATTAGAAAAGGATATAATATTATTCTTAAAACTTTGTTTTTCATTGTTCATCTTTCAATTAAACATAAAATAGAAATGAAATACTACTATAGCTAATAACAAAATCCAATTTTACATTGTAAGTAAGAAAGTATTACTGTTTAATTTATATTAAGCTGTCTGGCGTAAATTATAAGATAAAAGGTTGAAATTTTGGGAAGCTGTAGAGAATTTACAGGATTACAATTTATATTCATAATCTGTGTCAAAACACGAGATATTCTTAAGGAAATTATTTCTTTTTTCTCCCCCCCCCCTCTTTATTGTTTATTATGAGTGTCAAAATCGTGATATAAAGACCTGAAAAAATTCTCAAAACATCTTTATTGTTGATAGAAAATCACAAGAACAATTAATATCAATATTCATATTTGCAATGTGGTTAAAAAAATTTGAACTGATATAAGAAGTTAAAAAAAAAACATTTTTCATTTGTGCAAACTATTGATTTAAATTTGGTGTTTTTCGTACCCTTGATATATGATTTTGGTCCCTGGGGGGCACTTTTCACTATCTTATTCTATAACCATCTTTCTTTAGCAATAGAGTTGTAGATCTGTGAAATAGCCTTTCTGAACCCTCCAGGACAGCATCTTTGATTAATGTGTTCAAAAATCTCAAGTGCTTTGAAAATTGATGTACTTAATGTTATTATCAGGGCTTGGATTCTGGTGACCTAAAAATTTTAAGAAAATGACCTGTAAAATAACGTAAGAATAAGGGGAGAAAGACTTAATTTTTTTTAAATACTGAAAATTCTGTATAAAAAGGTTTATTTATTCAATGAATTTTACAATCTTAAATCATTTTTTTTATAAAATTATATTTAACAAAGAGTTTGTATTTTAGGAGGTAATGTAGTCCTTAGCTCTGATCTTCTAACTGTCATAAAGATCAAGGGATTTACTGAAGAACCGTAAAATTTTAAGAGTTCAAAAAACAGAGTCCATTGCAGTAGCGAATTTTGTCATGAACTGATGATACAATAAAGACTGTTTTATTGTGTCATTGTAAATTATTGAAACATTCACTAACAAAAACCACAAAATGGAAACAAAATATGTGGAAATGACAAAAATAGTGCAGAAGGCCCCAAAAATGATCTTAAAATTGGAAGAACAAGAGGGGAAAAAAAAAAACCCAATAACTATACATTTCTATACAGTACGTCACTCAATGTGTTAGATGTGCTATGTTTAGACTGCACCAATGAAAAGATGACATGTCATCAGAATCTGAACGCCTGGTTAATATACTTTATAGTTATGAGTGAATGAGAAAATAAAAATAAATAATAATTCGTAATAGCAAATTGTATTTGCAGGAACTTGACCAAATATTTGAGGAATTAATTTTTGAAGGAAATTGTTACGTTGTGTCCTGTTATATTTAATAATTTTTTGTATTCTGCATTTAGGGAACTGTCAACATTTTCTTAGAGTTAGTTAAATGGGCTCTCTTCATGTCCAAACACACATTTATTGGCCTTTTTACTGCTATTATGGAGAAGAATGGTGTTCAGGCTGGCTCAGAAACTCATACCCTTTTGCTTAATGAATGTGTTCGTCTTCGACAAGATTTTCAAGTGAGTATTAGCTATTTCTTTCTATTTGATTTCAATTACAATTACTATTAACCTAGAAGAGACTGGTCAAAGCATCAAAAACATACAATAGAAATATCAAGATGTAAGTAATTTCTCTGTTAACGTAATAAAATATTTTATTAATAAATTCTTTGTGAATAATTTCAGAATTTAAGAGGTTTATGTTGTTTTGAGAATAGTATGTGTTAAGAATAGAATTTGTCTGATTCAGGACATTTTGGGAGATGACGGGGTTTTTCTCTTTCCTACTCATCCTACTGTGGCACCTTTTCACAATGAACCAGCTTTGAAGCCTTATAATTTTAGTTACACAGCTATCTTCAATGTTCTGGGATTTCCAGCAACACAATGCCCTCTGGGTTTGGGTTCAGAAGGATTGCCTCTAGGCCTACAGGTATGTATTTTTTCATTGTCTGAAATTCAGGTTATAAGTTACTGAGTTGTATTTTATAATTATGTAAGCAGAAAGCTCGAGTGTATTTTTCAATATCAGATATGCATTACATGTTTTTTTAAAAATATTTATTTAATATTCAATTTTGACATGCACTTATGAAGTTATTAGTTGTGAAAAGAAGTCTTTTTGACAAATGAGTTATTATTTATTAACTAATGGTTCTACAACATCACATACCTTCTAATAAACTGACACTCCAATCATCACTTCAAATATTTCTTGATCATAATTGAAGCGGAGAAGAGTAAAAAACCATATTGTCTTTATTTTTGAGAGTTCTGAATTTTAAATGAAAGTGACATTTTCCCATTGAATTCACTGAATTATGCTCTTGTTACAAGAAGTGTAAAGAAAAGAAAGAAACAAAAATATTTCTAACAATAAATAAATAAAATTTTCCCCTGGTGGGATTTGAACTTGAATGATTGTTTATTGGTGACCTGAGGCAGTCCCCTTCATTAACAAATCATGTGTCAAAAGTATTTATTAAAGAAGGAAAGGAAAAGGAAGGAAAACAAAAAAAGTAATAATGAATTCATAATAATGTGATTCTAAAGCATACCTCAAAATTACGCTAAAAAGCACTACTAAAAATAGAAAAATTTGTCATTGAGAAATTGTTTAAAGATTTCATATGGTGGAAGTGATTGTTATTATCAAAGAAATTTGTAATTACAATATGGAAGGTATAAAAGAAGGTATGACAGGTATAAAAAAATTTTAACTCTTGCAATTTTCAAAATTCCTTTGCTGAAAATTGAATTGTGAAATGAATTGTGCACTATTGGAGCCAAGAAATTACAGAAAATATTTTGAGCAATTTTTGAAAATTGTTGTTACATTTTTAAAAAATGGTTATGAATTCACTCAAAATTACATGAAAATTTCATTTAAAAAATATATGACATGATTAAAACATCCAGTTTTGGAGAAAAGATTTCATTTTCAACATCCTCAGTTTAGAAATGCTTTTTTTTGTTTTCCTAGTGGGCAGGAAAAACTTATTCCCTCCTGCAAGTGTCCCTACTAGTGCCATTTTCTTGTGTGTCTGCTTGTGTCCCTTTTTTTGTGTGTAATTTAAGGCCAATCTTCGTAGTCTTTGTTAATTCATTCTTCTATGTGCTATTTCTTTTGTTTCTTGTGCGAAGGGGATTGGGACTGGAGAGCTTTTTTTGCAAGTTTTTGAATTTTATTAATCTCATGTCCTAGCATTACATTTTCATTGTTTTTTGGTTGATATGTGCAAGTTGTATAATTATACTCTTCTGAGACTGATTACTTCATATACAATTTACAGGTGATTGCAAATTTGAATCAAGATCGTTTGACTCTGGCAATGGCATGTGAGCTTGAGAAGGCTTTTGGTGGGTGGGTGCCCCCTGCAATTGCTGTATGAAGCATGTGTGGAATTTAGAAGCTTTTTTTTGTATTAAGAATAAGACCTTTTGTATAAAAGTAAGAGGACCATTTTACTTAATGTGAATATATTATGCTAATAATTTTGTTGGTGATGGATGTTATTATTTTATATTTTAATTACTTTATATTTTTTACTAATGTGAAGTTAATAGACTTTTAAAAAATGGAATTGAGAGCAAAGTTTTTGATTGTTCAATCCAGTTAATATTTTTCAGAATATACAATGCTTAAAACGTAATGTATGTTCTGATCAAAGCCATAATGTTTATGATTGATCAATTATGAGTGAATACTGCTTGTAAAATTCTACAAAAAGTAGTACACAAAATGCAAGCTGCAAACGTTTTTTTTAACTTTGCACTTAATCAAATGTTAACGTTAGTTTCAGGGTTCTGGTACTAATTGTTTGGGACTTTGGATGTCTTTAAGAGTTCAAATTTTAATGAAGGGGAAGGAATAAACACACAAAAAAAATATTTTCTGAAATATTTTTTGCAAAAATGAAAATATATATTCACAAAATGTTAAAATGAATCCAGTAATACATCCTAAAATATTGCACAGATTTGTATATTATTTCAGAAAAATTTGTGTCCTCTGTGCACTCTATTTTCATACTATTGAGTTCCTGTGTTATGGTTCTGATTATCCCAACAGTGTAGTTAGAAGTGTTTTTTGATATTATTAATAGATATATTATTTGCTATAGGATTTATTTGTTTACTAAATTATATTTTATTCTGTTGGGACATTGTTATATTTATAGTTTAAATACTTTTCTTTTTGTTGGGACCAATGAAACCTTTTCTTTTAAAATATTTAAAAAGGAATTACTTGATACAAGCTAAATCATCAGCAGTTACATTTTTACGCCGTAGCTTGCCTGTTTTTTCTTATGTAAAGAAATAAATTGCCATAATTTGTAATACAGATGAGCTTTAATAAGATAACTAGGAGAGATGTAGATTAATAACTGCTATTTTTCTATATCCTGCGAGGTCCAAAGAATGATATTGCTTTTTTTCAGGGATATATTAATTATACTTGTTTTTATGTTGTAAATGATTTTTTTATGCTGAACATCAGTATTTACTAGTATATAGTTATATTGGAATGTAGTTATTACTTTTGTATTTTTATTTCTCAAAAGCATTTTGATTTTAGAATTGTAATAGAAATGAATTGTGGAACAAAAATATAGTATTTTGTATGCTGAACATCAGCATTTATTAATATAGAGATATATTTGAAATTTAATTAAGACTTTTGTGTTTTCTTTTTCTCAATAGCACTTTGATTTCAGAAGTGTTATAGAATTGATTTGTGAAACAAAAATATAAAATTTTATGTAGCTCAGTATTTTATAAACAATTGCTGAGAATTTGTTAATGTGATAAATTCTGTTAAAATTTACATATTTATTTTTCTGTGCTTAATACAAATGAAAATGTCAATATTTTATAATGTGAAAATGTTATGTATGTTCTTAATACATGTTAATATGTGTAAATGATCTTGTGACATTTTGCATCTGTGAATAATCATGTCCTTTCAGATATTTTTATATGTGGGTGAAGGTCACATTTCCTGCAAAAAAAATGTTTTGCAGAAAGTTGTGTGAATAAAACTCCCTATTTATTGACAGTTTTTTTACATTTTTATTATTAATTTTTTATAATTAAGTTAAGACTTACCTATTGACTTGGTGAGTTAGATTATGTAGATGCAAATTTCCATCTATGAGCTTTGAGAACTGACAAGTCTTGGGATTGAGTCATAAATAAATGGGTTGGACACACTGCTAGGGTGTAAATTTTTAAGACTGGCTGCCCTGATTAGTTGATTTTCTCCAAATAATTCCAGTTAGATGGGGAGTGCATATTTTAGACCAGAGTTCTACCTGGGCTATAGTCCCATCAGAGTGAGAAACATCTTTTTTACATTATGGTTATTCTCGACTTTTCCCATTGCTCAGAAAGCTTAGGTCCAAAAGAATCTCTCAAAGCAAAGTGGTACTTTTATTTTACTAGGATTATACATCTGTGTGTAAATTACATCTTAGCCCTTAATGAACCAGTGAATAGTGAACCTTTCCACTGTCTTCAGTAAGTTAATTCTTTCTTGTTATATGCAATGCCTCTGTTTCTCTCAGAGATATGAAACACATCCGAAAGAATAGCGAGAAGGTAAAGTACAGAGTTCTTGTGAAATTGATTACTGAATTGGGTTCTGTGAAATTGAATTTGCCTTGCAAATATGTTGAAAGAAAAATGTAATTGAATCGGTGATTTTATAAGGAAAACAAGTCTACTTTTTTCATAAAAAGATTTGAGATATACATTTTCTTTGTTATTCTTCAAGCTATAGATCAGTGTAGAAATAAAACTTGTCCAGCGTAAAGTATGTGTTCTCTTGCCAACTAAAAACTTTAATGACTGGAAGAGAGACAGATGTCCAGAACTAGTTCCTGATCCTCACATGGAAGAACAGTATTATCACCTGGGAAATGCCTAAATGCTCCATGACACCAAAAACAGGCACTGAGGGACAGGCTTCAAAATCTCGATGGAGCTATTTTATGAAGAGAACCAAGTCTCTTGCTCATCCTGGCAGTCCTTGTAGTGAGCCTGGTGGGACTTTCCAAGTAAAGCAGCTAATGTACGTAATAGAGAATATTTTGGTGGAGTATATCGTGGCATTTATGGATCAAGTACTCATTCATGTTGGCAAAAGGGAAGGCTCATCCAGGTATACCTTTCAATAAAGTTCATGGCTGAGATGTTCTTCCAGTCAACAGAATGAAAATAACCAATGTTAAAAAAATAGTAAAATACATTCCACATGACTATCTCCATTTCTACTAGAAAGTTTTCATATAGCTACAGGCTCAAGTGGATATCGATAATGCTGATAATATTAATTTAGTAAGAGTATTTTTCATGATCATATTGCACAATATGTTAATTCACATCAATACACATTCTGTGATTATATTGTGTCATAAGTCCAAAAATAAAGGAATAAAAAATTATTTTTCTTTTCTTAGGTTTTTTTCATAAAGTCTATTTTATAAAGGAAATAAGTCCAAGGTATAAGAACAGTTCTGTACATCATAGAAATGCAATTTGAAATTACAGAGTACCCTATCAATAATTACCCAATCAATAATGACTAGTTTTACAACTTTTGTGCAGAATATAAATGTCCCAGATGCCAACTGTGAATGTTATTAAGTTTTTCTTGTTTTTCTTAGAACACTGAAACAAGGATTTATTTCCCTTTTCAAATCACTGATTCAATTACATCATATAGGGAAATACATGTCTGAATGAAAGTTTGGAAAGAAACGAACGTGGAAATTTTACTTGCTTTCTGAATTCAGAAATAGAATTAATCATTAGTAATATTTATTATTATGTTTAATTTAATCAAATGAATTCTATGAAAATCAATCACTTAACATTGTTATAAAATTGCCAAAGATTGGTAGAGGGTTTACTTTTTGTACTGCATTTTTACTTTCCTGTATACATACGTATATATGGAGTAATATACGCAGAATAGAGAAAAATATGTAATGCTGCACGAAAAAATGACGAATTTACACAGAATCAAATTCCTAGTCGAGCCCTAATAACGAAAAAGTGGATAAATTTGAAACAAAATCCTCTAACATGTGGTGTAGGCAGAATCCTTGTTTTTGGGGTACTTGATACTGAAAAACCAATTGACGGCAAAACATCTGTCTGTCAACTTGCAAACACCACTAGTGTCTAAACCATATGTACAATTTTTTCCATAATAAATATTCTGCGGTTGATCTGGTTCCACTGGTGCTGCGATTATGAAAAACTTTCTTAATAATTGAGAAGTATTTACAATGACTCCCAGACATTTAAAAATTTTTCTCAAAAATGACTAAATTTTTTCTTTGAATTTCTGGTAAGAATAGAGTAAAATACATTTATAAAAATTGCCATAGGTCATATTCTCACTGTTAACTTTGAATTTTTGTGAATTTCAAAATTTAAATTTTTTTGCAGCTTCTTCCTACAACTACAAAATTGAAGATAGAGATTTTAAAATTTGTTCTCCATTGTCAGTTCTTATATTAAGGTCATATACATTTTTTGGAAAACTTTAGCAGTTTTCATGCAATATTGCGTGCGATATGAGCAATTAAAAAAAATATCAAAAACAAAATTTTCTCAAAACGGCTCCAAAGTTTTTGTTTTAACTTTTCACATAGGTAATACTAAATGTATACCATGACATAAATGCCATGTTGCTCTATTCTTTTGTTTTTCAAAATTTACAAAAATGTAATTTTTTTAACTTGCCTCTCAAGTTGTTTACATTTACATTAGCAGTGATTTGTTCACATTATTATATTTATGAGTACAAGTGCTTTAAATTATGTTAAGTACAAGTTTCTTGAAACTCAATAATTTTCTGTGAAAACTGGCTCCAAAGTCTGCATTTTAAAAAATGCTCAAATGCCATTTTCTGATAAATGGCTCCAAATTTTTTCTTCAAACTTTTCAAATGGATAGTGCTAATTGCACTTTTTAATGTGAGTAAAGTTCATGTTGGGGTCCTTTTTGTATTTTAAAAAAAATACGCAAATGTAATTATTTTTAATGATCCCTCACACCATTAATATGCACATTTCCAGCAATTTGTAAACACTATTGTATTTGTGAGTTAATGTTCATCAAATGACTATAAAGAAAGTTTTTCAAAAACTGTGTATGAAATAGTTATGAATAAAAAACATTTCTGTGAAAAAGAGCTTCAAATTTCGAATTTAAAGTAGCACTTGAACGCCATTTTCTTAAAAAGGGCTCCAAAGTATTCAAAGAACATTGCCATTAAGGATGAGGTTTTACTGTTATTGTATGTTATTAAAATAATATTTCCGTTCTACTATTTGGAAACTGAAAAGTTAAGAAAATTACAAAAAATGTTCTTTTGGCAGTTATAGATTGCCGCTGGTAAGAGTATGTGCCAAGGATGAATAGCTATCTGAGACCAAAAGAAATAGAAAACTAAGAAGAGAAAGCCTGTGCCATTTAATCGTACCACTAGTTTAAATTCTCTGAGTGTAACATTGTTGAGGTTAATTGCTAGAATAGTGTAAAAGAGCTGCTTAAAAAAGAAATATTGGAAGACTGAAAACATCAATTCTCAGGAAAAGTAGGATAAGGTATTACAAACAACCTAAACTTTCGGTATGTGATAATCAGAATTTAACAGAACATTTATGAGAACTCAAAATCTATGAAATTTGTTGATATTTGCATATAGGTAGTAAAAATGTCGAAAATATGCCCCATAAAATTTAATAACAACCCATCATAACACGATTTCTCATAATTTTTATGCACAGCATTTTAAGCACGTTTAATACAATTTTGAAGTGTAATATTAGTTTTCACAGTGGAATGTTAGCCACCAAATGCATAACATTTGCATTAAAGTTACTTTAACACAATTCTTAAAACTCCCTGGCAGCCACCCATACATGAAAAAGGGAAGTTCATTTCTTATCTACATCCTGTTTTGTTCACATTTCTAGAGAAAAGCCTGCTCTGTGACATGCAGGAGTTGGGTTAGAGGGCCATGTTCTTCTGATGGTCTCGAAAGCATGGAATACTTGGAATGATCATGATTTTCCTATTAAATATGCTTCAGTCAGATACAGGAAATTGATATTAGCTTCAAGGAATTATCTGTATAGAAACACATATTACAAAATTAAAAATTAAATTTATTAAAATAAATAGAGTAAATAAAAATGCGAAACGATATACAGTTTCAAACAACATATGCAGAATAATTGGCAATTTGCAGACCCATGAGGCTTATTAAGAAAACAACAAAAATATCAAGATATGTATTGTACAATCATGTTTAAATAATTGGAAGTTGAGTTATTAATACATGTACCAAGTGAACAATCTTTCTGTATTCAGGTGGAAAAAATTCATTTTCTTGGAAATTGGATTCTTAGTGACAACAATAATTTTTATCATTTTTACTGTGTAATAAACTACAGTAACGCATTATTTTTTTCTCACAAAACAATGCCCATGTCAAATATTTCTTTGGTAAATCTGAACAATTGAAAAAAAATGGCACTTTTTCTGGAACACACTCTGGAATACTTTGTGATTACTACATACAAAAGAAAGTAATAATGATTATTTAATGTTGAAAGAAGGATGCTTAAAAATATTTTTAATTACAAACAAATGTTTATGTTTCTTTATTTCACAAAAAATACATAATTCATACAAGCATAAATTCTGATATATGTATATTATATCTAACAACTATTTACAATTATGGCATTTTGTGTTGAATGTAACATTCAAACATGCTTCACAAAAGGGATGTGTACTACATATACCAAAGAAGTACAAATTTTTCTCTCTTGTCAGTACATTCACTCCCCAAACTGCTGGTGTAACTAATTTTATTACAATATATGTGGGGGAGACTTATGATTAAATTACTTCCAATTTTCAATTATCATACATACAAATATATGATTTCCGAATGTGTAAACTGCAAGTAACAATACATTTCTGATTTCTTCCTTCCTAGAGTTGATTACAATAAGTCTCATGGATTCTGTTACAAACAGGATCCTTAACTGTATACTTATATAAAAACTAATTGAATAATGATATATCCTTGACAGGAATTCATACAAAATTTAACAAGATACCGAACATTTTAAAATAAGCAATTTGGTCCTTTTATTAGTGTGCAAGTCATTCAAATGCTGTGAAGTTTCCTCTCCTATTTTCACAGTTATATGTACTGTTTTGCATTGAGAAATTCATTGTGATTTATGGAATATAGGTACTATATATATTAAAAACATCTTAATTTTATGATTCAATGTTCAATGTACATGTACATACAGATTATATTGGAAGCCATGACACTGTGGAGGGACTTGTTTAACATAGCAATGGAAGAAGACTGGATGGCCACTAACATTACAAATATATTACAATTATATTAATTGAGCCCATGACTTACCATACTTCATCAAACACAGTAAGAGATTTACGAATATTTTCATCCTGAAAAGAAGTTCATGAATGAAGATAAACACTGGATTGTAATAAAGAACGTGAAGAATTTTTAAGAAGATGTAAGTACTCACGGTTGTACAATAGTTGATAAATTCGTCCACCGTTATTACCCCATCATGATTTAAGTCTAATTTCTGTTGAAAGATAATGTACATGTAAATATAATGTACAATAAAATACATGACAATTAATATCTTTTTTTTAAATGTATGTAAAATAGAATTTACCTTAAAAATTTTCTCTACATGCAATTGAGGTGACTGTTGACTATCATGAGATGTGCCCATTAAATTGTAAATTGCAGATATAACATCAAGCATTTCTTGCCTCGTTATACAGCCATCGTGATTTACATCATAAAGTCTGGAACAGAAATGTCTTGTTAGTCATTGGAAAATTGACATAGGCTCACCAAACGGGAGCCTCTCATGGGCTTTCAACCTCCGCCCCTCATTCCTCACAATTGATGAAACATATTCACAGGTATACCTTCAACTATTTTGAACTTGTTCCATAGTATAGAGCTACTTATACTATATCTACTTATACTATATTTACTTATACTATATCTACTGAGATATTGTAATACTTCTCGATTTGTTTTAGTAGATTTGTGTTTTGCTTATTTTAGCTTCTAATGCCTATTTTTGTCGTTTTGTCTTATCTTTGCCTTTGTTCTTTATCGTATACGTACGTATATATGGAATATTATACGTAGTATAGGAAAAGTTGTGTAATGCTACGAAAGTTCGATTTCGAGATTTCAATGGAAATAGACGTTTTAGCGTCCCCTGATACCGAAAAAGTGTTGTTTTTTTTTCTTCAAAACGTCCGTCTATCTGTCGTCCGACTGTGAGTTCTAGCGCCTAAACAATACGTAGGTTTTTGTTTTCCAAATTGAAGAAACCCCTGTACATCTGGTTCGAGTAGAATCTTTTAGATTTTGAAACAAAATCTTCAAAATTTTGGGGTACTATACATGAAGCCCTTGGGAAATTTTTAATTTTCTCATAAAATGGCTCCAAAATTTTTACTTTGATTTCTTGTACGAATGGAGTAAAATACACTTATAAAGGTGGCATAGGTCCGATTTTCACTGTTAATCTGATTTTTTGAAAATTGAAAAAGTTTGAATAATTTCCGACGTCTTCCTACAACTACAAAATTAAAGAGAGATTTTTCCTTCCAATGAAATTTGTTGCTCATAATCAGTTCTTTTAATAAGGCCATGTACATTTTTTTTAAATAGTAATTTTCGAGTAATATTGCGTGAAATATTTGCAAATTTAAACTAGTGGTGGTAAAACGCCACATATTTTCTCGCCCCTCAGTAACAGTTATGTATAATATTATTAATATTATAATTATGTATATATTTGTCACTATATCAACTCATGTCAGTGGATGAGCGTTGCCAAAAAATTGCGTATGTAGCGATGGGCACATATTGTCGGATCAATTCTTCCTAACAGCACATTTTTTTGCCAGAATTGGAAGGTGGTCCGTAGTTGGTGTGAAACCTGAACATACGAATTCGTATGAGCATTATCGTACTCGTATTTCATTAATTAATGTCCTCGTATTTCATTAATTTCAAGCAGAAATTACGCAAAACTATTACTTTTTTCAAAAAAATTTACATGGCCTTTTTTAAAGAGCTAATGTTGTACAACAGACTTTGTATGAGGCAAAAATCTCTATCTTCAAGTTTGTAGTTTTGAAAATTTTTTTGAAATTTTCGAGAGAAAAAAAAGAGCAATACCCGAAAATGAGACTAGTGCTATATTTCTTACCGGTCCTTATTAATTTCCCGTATACGAAGTAATACACATACGAAGTAATATACGTACGAAAAGTTATGTAACGCTGCGGAAAATCGATTTCGAGATTTCATCGGAAATACTTGTTTAGGGGTCCCTTGATACCAAAAAGATGTTTTATTTTTCAAAACGTCCGTCTATCCGTCCGTCTGGTGCCTATATTACTACTAGCGCCTAAATTATGCGACCGAAGAAAATTTGCCAAACGAAAGGGAAGATAGTGAAGAATCCATCATTAAAATACTCCCCTTTTATGTCCATAAAGTACTCGACTATCCCCTATTTATCAGTGAACTAAAAGCTATTACAAAAG